GGTTGAAAACAAAACTTTACGACAGAAGAGATGATTTCGGCTTCCCATTTGTGACCCTTCCAATTTTGTAAAACCAAGAGTTCAAAATGGTAAAGTTGAAATCATCACTTCGTGTTCCTTATGTCGTAACTACAATCCCGTTCCCTTTTCACGAATGTGACCTACCGAATTAGACTATTTACCGGCTTTGTAATAACATGAGCAACACAACGGGTGCCACATGTGGAGCAGGTTCTGCGTACCCTTCCGGAGCACCTAAGATCACCCCCAGTTTTTGGTGGGGTTCGTGTTGCTGTTGTACCCCTACTTGTGACATGTTTACCTATTGTGTCTGTTTGTTTTGTTCACACTTCGTTGTCAATATAATGGAATTTGATGCGACTGTCATACAAGTGAGAGGTTTAGCTAGCTTTAAAACCAGGTTTAATCCACCATTTTTTACATAAGAAAATGCCTGTACCAATTCTAGAATATGATAGTTGTTATCCATTCGTTTGATGAGTTTGAGCTTTTGATTTTGCCATTTGATTAGGGACTTTCCTTTTTGAATTTTCCTCGGAGTTCAGTATTTTTGTGATTTTACTTTTTACCGAACTCCTAGATAAATTCAAAAAGAGGGAATCAAAGCATCTTTTAGCTAGCTATAAAACCAGGTTTAATTCACCATTTTCTTTTTAAGGAAATGCCTGTACCAAGTCAGGAAAATGACCGTTGTTTTCCATTCGTTTGATGTGTTTGAGCTTTTGATTTTGCCATTTGATAAGGGATTTTTCGTTTTGAACTTTCCTTGGAGTTTGGTATTTTTGTTATTTTATTCGACTGTATCAATCGTCGGAACGACTGGAAAACAAATGTTATATTCCTGACTTGGTACAAGCATTGTCAGAAGAAAAAAAGTGTGGTTACTTGAAAAGAAGTTCCGACACACATAAATCTTCAGCTAGGAGATTCGTTCAGCACATTGACCTATAATTGAAGTTGAAGAAGAAAATCAAAATGTTAGATAACATTCGTAAAAATTTATCTTTGGAAACTCGTGCTTTACAGACGCATAGCATACGTAAAATATCTTTATCGACATTATTATAGTAATACTCTTTGATAACAACAAAATTCATGTTTGAAATAAAGAGTATTGTAAATTCGGAGATGTGTGCGTGCATGTTTTCTTGCAATTGTTGAATAATTGACAAAAAAAAGATCAATTATTTGGGATTTCAGGAAGTGTTGCATACAAATAATGCTATCAAAATTCAAAATTCGAGTTTTTAAATATGTAAAACATATACCGTTGCAATTTTCATAAACATACTAGTCATAGTAGTGTGAACGTGTAACTTTCTGCTGTATGCGATACTCGAAAATCGTAAGTAGAAAGTTGGTGACATGTTATACAAGTCAATGTTAAAAATAGTTCATAAATAACTTTTATACTTCAATTATATTTTTTACTATGTATGCCTCCATCAGGTAAAGCATTTAAAACATGTTCTACGAGGTCCAGATTTAAGTTCAAATACGAAACTTTTACATGTTTCATATACTAATTGATGTAATTTTTATAACGTTGAAAAGGGTAAATTGTAGACAGTAAATCTTCACGCCATTGTCATTTTATATATTCTAGAAGACTAGTCCCTATGGAATTGAGCTTTGAAAAAAAATGGAATGGTTTGCATTGATATTGTACCGACCGAAAAAGGGTAATTTGTTTTGCGGTAATAGCAACAGTTGTTTGTTAATAAGTACATACCATGTATCAAATTTATATGAAATACTTCCATCAAAAACAAGAATTCCATTTCTACTGCGATGGGAAGTATACTCCACAAAACACTTATATTCGAATCGACGATGTATATTGGGTTAACAAATTCAATGACAGTCGTGATACTGTTTGAACAAAAACTTTAAATAGAGGTCAGTCAATTCGAAACGTATCCAGTCGTATCAGTAACGTTGCCGTATAAGTATTTGTGAATATATTAAAATGATATGATCGATCGGATTAAAATAAAAATAAACAAAACAAAAAGGAAATACCAGATTTTGTAGCATGCAATCAAACATTTAATGATGATATGGATAATTTGTGCAGTTTATAGGTATGCAAGGGATGAATACTGAAAAAAGGTCCAGTTATTTATTTACTAACGTTGGCGCCAGGAGATCTAAATTCCTATTTGACAAACAGACTAACGCTGATTAAATTTGTATTTATATCTACTCATTTAAAACAAATTTTGCATCTTATTTATTTGACGAAAGCTACACGAAAGACAGCAGTCAAAAATTACTGTCCCGAAAACAGAACTGAATTTGTTATTACGCAAAGAAATAGATCAAATAGATTTTAAAATAAAAGATTGAATAAGAATTCATTCTTCGTTATATATACAACACAAGACCTGACTCGGATAGCAAATTTGTCGTTTTTTGGTGCTTATTGTACACGCATAAGCCGGTATGCTTTGGATGTCTTTACTATGTGTAAGATAGGATGATTTTATAGCATGAAATATTTAAATACATTATTATATAGCTCAGTACAAACACCTGTGATTTAGGTGTCATTTAAACAAACAAGATAGAAAAAGAAAGTAAATAAAGAGTCATCCGAACTAGCGCTTTCGCATGTCATCATCTGGAGTGAAAAAAGAAAGACGATGACAAGCAATTATATCTTTATACATAGATTTGATTTTATAGAGTATCTATGGCAATTGGTAAAATCTTGAACGATTATTTGGAAATCAGATATTTGTTCAAAAGTGTTTGCTCAACAATGCAATTCGAAAAAAAAAATAATACTTGTATAAAGTTTGTTTCAGGACAGTAATGAATTAAGTCTGTAATTTGATAAAATTTATTCGTCTTCATTGTTACAAATTAAGGCGACAGTAGGTTACCAATGTTCAAATCTCGTAAATGGATTCAGAAAAGACAAATTTCACATGCTACATCTTGTGTGTTTCTGGAGCCGGACTTTGTAATATCTGTCGCGATATCTTGTTTGTCTATTATGAAGCTCCTGGCATATCATTGATAGTCTTTGTGAAATTTGTCAACATCCATTCTAGTCAAAAGGCACGATATACATTGACTGTTTGTGTGCAACCGTTTGCTTTGTTTAAGACCGTAAGTTCGTTCTCATCTTAAGAAGTTAGTTCGGTATGGTCCCGAACATTTAGTCCATATTTTTTTAAAAGATAATGAATGTTGCAAGTAGATGGAAAGACACGTATGAAACGGAAATAGTGTACAATTTAGCCAAAGTAAGTATTCAAATCAGATATATATAATGCTAGAACAAACATTATGATAAAAGGTCTTTTTTTTAATGCGACGCATGCGCTTTGTGTTTCTGGTGCAAAAAATCTATGGAAATTGACCTGTTTTCATTGCATTGTCGTGGAAAATCAAATTGTGTGCTATTTGGGAGTCATGAAAAAAATGCTTATTTATTATCTTTATTATCTTATCAATGTTGTAATACGATCCTGAATATTGTTTGCATTGGCACAACTATCGATTTTGTCATCAACAAATTAAAACATAACTAAATTTGTATTTTTTTCAAATGGTTTTTGGAATGTATAAATACACATCCACGTTCATTTTCTATATAGAAATCATTTTATCTATATATAACATTATACACATTTATTATAAGGTTAAATCCTAACTATCCTACTGCCTGTCGATACTTTTATTTTGGCATTGCACAAGTCATGTCTTCTTTGACTGTCCATGACGTTAAAACACTAAATCCCTGGGATGTGTTTTAGTTGATTTTAGTCTCTGATACATGATTTTTTATTATTAATTGTTTTTGGCTTTTTACTAGCTTTCAGTAACTGCAAGTACTCTCAAATCGCACTTTCTTGTAATTTGTTCTGTTGAAACAATTTGTAATTCATTTTTTTTATTCTTTGTTTACTTATTTTGTGTTATATCTCGTCTCACTATTTTTAATTTGTACCACCTTTGATATCACGATAATTTTCAATTATGTTCTCGTACTATGAACAACAAATTTATTTTTTTTATAAAATAAAAAAATATTTCCGTACTCCATGTACTCCTTACAACAAAATTATCATATTTACCTGTGTACGTTATTTTATTTAACGCTATTTTATCCAAAGTTATAGTTGTCTTTCTGATATTGTTTTACATCTCCCCCCCTTTTTTTTTATTAATATTGTATTTATATTGTGTCATAGATCAAATTTATTCGTTCTGTGTATGTTAAGTGAGTTAAGCCATTTCAATTGATATTTTATAGTGTGTCTTTCTATATTGTAATGTTACACCACTACTTCAGGTTAGGGTGAGGGTTGGCGCCTGTTAAAACGTTTAAATCCGCTGCCTTTGTTTGCACTTGTCCTAAGTCAGGAACCTGCTGTTCATTGGTTGTCGTTTGTTGATGTGGTTCATAAGTGTTTCTCGTTTTTTATATATAGATTAGACCGTTGGTTTTCTGTTTGAATGGTTTTACACTAGTCATTTTTGGGGCCCTTTATAGCTTGCTGTTCGGTGTGAGCCAAGGCTCCGTGTTGAAGGCCATACTTTGGCCTATAATGGTTTACTTTTTACTAATGGTGACTAATGGAGAGTTGTCTCATTGGCACTCATACTACATCTTCTTATATCTTGATACTTTTATTTTCGACAAACAGAAGTATTTTCTATCTTGATGATTCATTTCGAAAAAAAAGTCGATAAATCCTGAAATTTAAGCTTGAAATGGGCTTGTTGGATACAAATTGGGTAAGAGATGAAATGATGATTTCAAACTTTATTAGCTGTTAAAGAATATTTAAGCACATAGTGGTAAGTTCGTGTAAAAAAGAGGTAGCTCTTTAGTTTTCCAGTTAAAATTATTAGTTAAAAATTTGAAAAATTATTGTATACAAAATTCTTCAAATATAGAATATCTACCATACTATGGCCTTTAGGGAAGGTTCATTTAGTCTTGAAAAGAAACTACAATAAAATAATGTCTTGTATTTTTATTTAAGATAAATACACCTTTGTATGTTAATTGCAATTTTCATAAAAACACTTACAAACACTTGATTATTATGCACATGATGCAGTAAATGAAGAACGAAAGTTATACATCAGTTTTATTTCGATATTATGTCTGTTCTATGCATTGACAGTGTGAATAAAGAAGACTAAATGAATATCATCATTTCAAACGGCGTTTCTATTTCAAAAATATCAAAGCACACTAATTAAATCATGCAGGGCAGATTATACTATTCATTTACAAAACATTACATAATTATCCCCTTTTCAATGCTATAACAGAGGTTTTGACACGAATTAAAGAAAAAGTATGTATAATGTGAATATTGTCCTTAAAGGTATATTCCTTAAGACTTATACTTATAAATATGCGAACATGAATCATATATTAATCCTCTATTGAATAAGTTTGGAACAAAAATACAATTTAAGGTCAACCTATACAGAAAGACAAAACAGGAGATAAGTAAATAGTTTAAAGTTCTACTTTTTATCATTGAAATTCTAATAATCCATCCCACTATTCCCGTCCACCATATTTCAAGTATTTGTTTAGTTTGGATTACGTCTTTTGTTCTGAGCCTATGTAAGTGTACACTCAAAATGTTTTGTACTTTGGTGGGACAAACTACTTTTATTTACCAGTATTTGATAAAAGTGCATTGAACAAAGACAAATATATGTTTAAATGACATAATATATATATATATATATATATACAGATAAACAAATTTAAAATTGCAGCTCTTGCCAAAGATTTATCTCTTTGAATATGAATTACAGAACCATCGCTGATAATTCAACTCTTCCTTGTATGACGCAATAAAAAGTATACATCTATAAGAGTTTATGAAATTTAAAGACTTTTCATTTAAACATCAGGAAGACGCTGTTGATTTCAAAGAGTTTTGTTTCATTTAGATCATCGCGAACACTACGTTCTTGATATCATAGAATTTCCGCTTATTGGTAGAAAGTAAGTATGATTTAGATCTGAAGTTCTTTGTGCCATCGTTAAATGATTGTTATCGCGATATCGATGGTCTTGTGGTATGTCATAAACATGGCTCTGCTCTCTATTACGATTGAATTCATTATAAACTCTGAAAATGATAAAAAATACAAACATAAACTAGTAGATATACATTTTGAAATGTCAAAATATATTCGATTTGCTTTATACATTTCAAATAACTATGGAGGATTACACGTTACTTTACTCATATTTCATTATCTACATTTCTTCATTACAGATTTCGTTTCAGGTTTGCTACGTGTATGTATGTTTCGAAACGAATGTCGCTTTTAAGACATTGATCATCAATAAAAGTCTTACAAGACTAGGAAAATGCAAAACCTTACTTTTCAGTAGTTATCCCATTAGTTATAGTTTTTAATTACCACTTACAATGAACACATTTTCATATTTGTAAATCTAGCTAAAGGATAAAACATGTTAGATTAACGGGAAATTATCAACGTCACAATATACTGTACACGGCTAGAAAGTTTGTCTTGCCACAGATCACCTTCAAGAATTGTTGAATGGTTTTCACGTATTTAACTAAGACTTTCCCCAAACACTAGAATTAAGGAATACCAGTACTGAAGTTGAAGAGTTGCCACCGTCAATTGGCGATTTGATGGTCGCAAATGCAGTTTTACTGGCGACGCGTAGCGTGACGTCATACAAATGAAAACTTACAAACTAAAGGTTATTACGTTACTTCTACGATTCAAATTTGGACAAAATCACATCAAAACGGCGATTTTGAGGAAGATGTTGTTTTTCCCCGATAATATTGTAGTAATCGAACATTAGTTGATCCAAGCAATTCAAAATGGCGGGTCCCTCCTTAGTTAAGACATGTCAACTGTGCATTTGATGGTAACCTTTAGCCAATGAAAAAAATTGTTACATAAAAATTGCATTAGAATGAACATTTCACATATATAGAAATATTCTAGCTTGATCACTTCTCAATGTTTTATCAACTTACCTGTCACGATTGCGATTTGGAGGATTACCTGTAACAAAAATGTATACGTGTACAAGTTTTGTACAGAAATACCGATTACAGAGTTTTCAATCATATCTTGTTATGGTTGACGGTTACAATATTTCTGCACCAGATGCGCATTTCGACAATAAATGTCTCTTCAGTGATGCTCTATAAATAAAAATGATAAATTCCAAACTATTTCTTCCTTTTGGAACATTGACAGGAGGCCAGGGTGTTGCAAAAAAGATATACAATCCAGAAGAAAGCCGAGAAAAAGGAGTAATGGATGAGAGAAACCTATCCCCCGCAAGACCTTCAAAATTAAACCAATATGTACTTGCCAATCTTTTTTTTGCGAGTTCGAAATCAATAGCGACAGACATTTCAACTTAAAGGGGTGTTTACCCGAGGTCAGAACTTTTGGACGGGTTGCACACAATGCAGAATCGACTTATTATATAATATGATGGAATCCAGCTGGCGGGCGGGTGGACGTGCAGACGAGCGGGAGAAGATGGTACCCGTTTTGAGTAAAAAACTTCTAACCTAAGCGCTTTTAAAATTTGCACAATGTATGTATATACATAGAAAATGTGCAACTCTTTTTATGGACTCATTTTGGATATAGTTTGCTGTTTTTTCAGAGGTTGAAACTTTGTGAATTTTTGGCAATTGCACATATGACCACCATGACACATCTAGGGCCTCGCTAGGCCTTATTAGACCCTGGCAATGATTTTATACATAATAATCTGTTAATACCTACTCAGGAATAGCTGAATTTCCCTTATATTATTTTTATGTAAAATGTGACTAGTTCGACCCAACGAAATAAGAATCTTTAAAAAAAAAAAGACATCCTATATTCATGCAAAGTTTCAAAAACATTTCGCATTGTAATTTCTGAGGTATGAAATTGTCTTACCCGTTTGACCAACCTTTCAAATAGTCAGAAAAGTACTTCCCGTCATATACCCTCTAATGCATCTATGTACAATTTGACCCCTTTTTCTATGGTTTGATATCCTAAATACATATTCCTGCATATTTCTCTTTGACGCTTCTGTTCATGCTGCGAGTGCACAAATAGATGCTTAGATACCGATCCATTGTGAAATCTATGCACTGAATACCTTTTATTCGACAATAAAAAATTGTCGACAACTACGTGGAGGGTTTAATAAAATACCCACAGCGTTAGTGGCAATTGACAGCAATTTTTGTGCCATTTTACAGACCACACACGGAACCTCGGGCACAATTTTACTCCACATACCGGTATTCCATACTTACGCAGGTTTTTGTGTACATTAGGATTCATATAAAATTCACCCGCAGTAGTTTCCTAGGACAACCGGATATATGCGGAACACGCTATTAGGCGCTTAAAAACTTTCAAAGTTAATGGAAGCGTATAGAGACATCCGAAAAAAAATCAACCACACTGTACAGATTGTGCGGGTTTAGTAAAGATTGCTTGATTGTTTTGTGTTTTTCGTCCAGTGACAAATATTTCATGCATTTTCAAGTTTTCATGTCGAGGTTCAGTAGTGGAGTGACAAATTGATATGTTCGAAGAACAGTAATTAATATAAGAAAATAAAAGTGGCTTATTATGTGATTTTTTTTTAAATCTAGAAGTGCATTATTGAAATACCATCAACCGCCTTCCCTTGCACACACGTACACCTTTCCCGTCCTATAATCATAAGCAATGATATCAGAAAATGAATATTCTAAATTAATATTATTTTAAATGAATCAAGAAGTGTGTAGGATACCTGGTTAACATCACTCAAATTGATTTTTACCGGCTTAAATCGATAATCAATGTTTTGACACAGTCCCCACATTTAAAGTCTAACTTGTCAACCTCAGCGTTGAGTATATATCTTTTCGTAACACGTCTATTTAATTAACAGATTAACAGCACATATTTCTTTATATAATATGTATCATATCAGTAAAGATTAACTTTCCAAATGTTACCCAGATTTCAAAATATTCCGAAATAGCGAATTGACCTGTTTTAAGTGCAAATTTATCATATACATATCAGATAACTTTTGCAGAAACTTAAAGTCAGCACATAGAATCTATAACGCAAGACCATCCTGTATTTTTGTAAAGTTGACACTGAATATTTATAATTATTTCTATGAACTTTTTTAAGAATAAAGGATGAGACACAAACCTCGCTCATTATCTTTCGTACAGACACATATGACGTTTTGCAAAGTTTTAGTAGCAGCTCATTATTTTCGTATGCGTTGAGTAATTTATACCTGATAGGCGTGTGAAGTTGGAATATTGCTGCTACAGGGATGAAAATTTATAATTTCAAAATTTTAATCGTCTCGTTTGTCACACACACTAATACTAAATGGAGTCAAACCGATATATATTTCTACAAATGAGGCAATTAAGACTGCATGTGTAAGCGTACTTTCATTCCGCTGTGTTTTTATTCCGGGTAACTGTTTTTCACTAGAGAATATTGGATGTAAAAAGTGTGAAAGAGTCGATCTTGCTATCGTTGTTTTGTTTATATTAGACCAGTTTATTGTTTACATAGATAAATGGGTTAGAATTAAAATGATTTTCAAGGAATCAGTTTAATAAATCTGAGTCAATCTAGTAAATAATATTGATGATGATTAGGAGGATATTTTTATAACTCAAAATACTTTATCAATGATCAGGACATTGAACTTGATACAAACCAAATTTAAAGAGCAGATTTGTTCTTACATAAAGTTTCAATTACAGAAGCATCCTTTGATATTGACATAGAAAATATGATTTAATATCCAAGTCGATCGAAAAGCAAATACATAGAAAAACTTCGGCAATCCAATAAATATAAATATTACAATTAGTGACAATTTAAAAGCATATGATTTTATAGATTTGCGTAGAAAAATATTTAAATCTCATTCGTTAATTAACATTATTGTGTTATCGTGTGTTCAAAATGAGTACTAACCACTTCATCAATGAATGGATCTAAAGCACTAGTGTAATTAATCTCGCCGGGTATAAAATAACTAGTGCAATCATTCCGGTACAAAATCACTAGACATAAGTGTAATCATTCCTGGTTCAAAAACACTAGTGTAAACATTCCTTGGATGAAAACTCTCAACTTTTTACATAAATTAACTATGCAATTTTCAAATACACTAAAAACTATTAAGCCACATTTTATATATATTTCCCCTTAAAAAAAACCCTTTTTAGAACCTTATAATGACTGGTGGATGTTTTACACTGGACCCGGATAGAAAACCCTAGTGATTTGTAGTTGGTAGATAAAAATCACTGGGGATTTTCTTCCTAAGAATAAAGTACACTGGCGGAATCAAACCACTGTTACATATGAGTCGTTTCTTTAATCTCTAGTGCAGGGGGTATATATTAATGGGACAAATTGTGAAAAGGTTAAATTGTTAGCGGAGAGAACATTATCAATGTATCTGTTTGTGAAATGAAATGATATAGCTTCTTTGATCTTCTTCTTTTTCTCATTTCGACGAAACTCCTACTGATATAAAAATCAGAAAAAGGTCGGAAGGAAAAGCACACATTTAATTCCAAATCAATGCCGACAACCTACTGAAAAAATCCACCTCCGAATTCAACAAATGTATTTTCAATGAGAAACTCAAGCATACTGATAACTTTTTCGTCCATGTCGCATGTTTTATTCCAAACTCAAGGAACTTAAAGCGTTTGAAGAAAGGCATTGTGGATTATATCTTTTAGAGGTTTTTTTTTAAATTTTTCATGCGGTATGGTTGTTTTAAGGGTAGAAATGTCAAAGTTTGTGATAGAATTTGTTTCAGGGAAATACCACCTAGAATTACAATTTTACAGATAACATCTTTCGATTTTTCAGATTCCACATATGGTTAATGACGCAACTCGAGTTAACAGTATTACAGTATTTCTGTAATTCTTTTATCACAACGGACACCATTTTGGTCAATCCAATAGGCATTTCTTTGGAAGAACGTACATATGAGTATTTCTATATTTTAATGTTACACTTATACTTAAGGTTAGGGTGAAGGTTAGCGCCTGTTAAAACGTTTAATCCCGCTGCATTTGTTTGCACCTGTCCTAAGTTTGGAACCTGTTGTTCAGTGGTTGTCGTTTGTTGATGTGGTTCATAAGTGTTTCTCGTTTTTTTTTTATATAGATAGACCGTTGGTTTTCTGTTTGAATGTGTTTACACTTGTCATTTTTTGGGCCCTTTATAGCTTGCTGTTTGTTGTGAGCCAAGGCTCCGTGTTGAAGGCCGTTATTTGACATATAATGGTTTACTTTTTACAAATTGTGACTTGGATGAAGAGTTCTCTCATTGGCACTCATACCACATCTTCTTATATCTACGTACTATTTCTGTTGTTACAAAGTACTGCCATTATTAAAATGAAGAGCAGCAAAACTGCAACCAATCCAATCACGGCGTATATAATAATGTTCTTATCTTCTTTATCTAAAAATAAGCATTCCGGTTTAGTTATATCACTACTGTAGTTTAAAGTTATCAAAATACTATGCTAATAATTTGGAATACAAAATTAATGTTAGTCTTAAACGGCCAATTAGATCCTAAAGTCAACTAGAACGTCTGAATCTGAAAGCGTTAAGTTTTGATAAGAGCTAAATCTATTTTGTAGATATTTTCTTGTTGTCGATACAGGATTGTTTAGATAATTGTCTTGTATTGAATCCATATAATGTTTTTTTTTTATTTTTACAGGTAAACAACCAGTACTAAACAGTCTAAACATAAACTGAACAGATCTTAATTGACAACAATATTATGTGGATAAGTGTTAAAATTTAATGAATGATTGCACATGACCCATGAAAAACTCAGGAAAAATGCATTCCTAATAAAATTAAATAATTGATTTTAAACGAACCGCAAGTTATATAAGTGCTTGAATAGATTCATCCGGCTTTAGATGTACGTGTTGTTTTCTTGATGTGGAAATGTCTTTGCAGTCAACATTTGGCTAGTGTTTGTATCTAAATTAATGTTAATACCTATTTAAGCAACCCAACATCAGTCTTGTAAAACGCTTCTCATTTCGGGGACTTTTGTAGCTTCTTATGCGGTTACGGTTTTGCAAATTGTTGAAGGCTTAACGATGACCCATAGTTGCTAACTTCTAAGTAATTTGTCTTTTGTGGAGGTATGTCTCTTTGGCAATCATATCAAATCTTCTTATTTTCATATTAATTCGGAATGCCTGTAACCAAATATAACATCAATTCGGTGTATTAGTTTTCTCAAGAAAAAAAAACGAAAAACTAATTACAGTTTCAAGCATAACTTACCATCAATTGTCAAATGCAAGCAAACTGATTGAGGAACTTTGCTACCAAATAGATGACTAACGTCACAACAAAGATTTTGTCCACTTTTGTCAGACAATGGAACCAAGTCCAATGTACCAGCTACTGTATAACTTCTATCAATAACATCATAAGACTGTACAACAATAACCTCGTTTGTGTAATATCGGTCTTGGATTCTCATAGAAACGGTCGGAGCTGGATATCCATTCATTGATGAACAAGTCCATTTTCCTGAGGATCCAGAGATCAGGTTTGTAGGTCCGGTCAGTATTGGAACTTTTGGTGAAACTTTAATGACACGAATAAGGATACTTATATTATCTTTACATATAAGATGTGACAAAATAAATCAGTTTCAGTTAAAGTAAAAATCACAATAAAGAATATAATAACCTGATCTAACAAACCTGAATCAGGGTAACAACTAGGGAGCAGTAGAAACCCGATTTTCAGACCTCATAAACTGATTCAGAAGACAGAACAAGGTAATAAACACAAACTACGTGAATCGTAAGAACCCCTAAAATAGCAAGATCGTATGCATCGATAGAGTTGGCGTCTCCTGCTATGCATGCATCCACAATTATTCAAAATGTTACAATCAATCAGGAATAAACACAATTGGTATAATGACATATTAAGCGAACATTTTGGAATCTTAAATTTGAAAACAAGTCGTAGTTATTTGAGACACGAATTCGGGATCCACAGCTAATAACTTAAGGAGTGTCGATTTCAGCTGTTCTTACTCACAACTTTTTGGAAACAGTTTATTTAGTGTAGGCAGCACAAAGAAATTCTTCAAAAGTGAAAATTAATGAGCGTAGCGTATCAATTGAGATATGTAAATGCTATGCAATTGGACAGAGGGTATGATACAGCCGAGAATAAGAAAATGGCAATTGGAAAGTTGAAATCATCACGTTTGTCATGTGTTCTATTTTTGACGTCGTCCATCTATGTCAAGATCAAAGAAAGCTCAAGATATTGGACATACCTAGTTGTAGTGGTATCCTGATCTAAATACACCCCGATATTTGAGAAGCAAGCAGTCATTTAGTGACAGGACATCAGCAATATATCTAGAAGTGACATTAAAGATGACTTGTATTTGTGGCTTTGTCTTTACAAAAATAACGTGCTACTAAATGTGTAAGTTTGATCCCCAATTTTGCCAATATAACAGAACTATAAAAAACTGTCATACAAGTAGAAGGTTAAGCTAGCTGTAAAACCAGGTTTAACCCATCATTTTCTTCGAAAATACCTGTACCAAGCGAGGAATATGGCAGTTGCTATTTCACTTGTTCCGTTGATTAATAGCGTTTGATTTTGTCAGTTTTAATGGATTTGCCCCTTTTTGAACATGCCTTTGGGTTCAGATTTTTTGTCATACCTTTTTGACTGAAAATTATCTTGCCATTAATTAAAATGAATGAAAGTTTCAAAATCACAAGCACTTTAACTTTATGAAGTTCGTATCGCAATGTTGCGTAAACATCATCTGAAAAACCAGATATTGTATGTCATCATTTTCGGAGATTCGTAAAGCTCTGTTTTAGGGGACCAACAGTGCAGATTTATCGATATTTTCTATTTGAAGTAATTCAATTGCAGATTTAGTGTTTTCGTTAAACGTTAAACGTTCTTCTTTAAAAATCATCTGAAATGCTCGAAGCTTTTACGTACAATACAATTCAATATATGTTGTCGTTGCAAGTGGCTTCTTTAAAACGCCGTTATCCGCCTGACATTCAAACACTTCAAGGTGGTCTTCTAAACTAGCAGTAAAAGTTAGAGTTGTTGTTGTTACGCCGTTGTCTGCAGATCTGCTTATACCATTTGTGATGACATTGTCATCTCTCAGCCAATTTATTGTTGGTAAAGGATTTCCTCCTGTAGAACTGCATATCATTGTTATAGTATCTCCTAAATGATATTGGTGTGATCCTATGATTTGTGGTTGACCTGGAGGGTTGATGAAAGCTATTGAAGAAAAAAAGATATTTGTAATACAGATGTACATTTGATAGGAAATCTTTAATGTTAAAATAGATACGAATACAATACTATGAAAAAAAAATTAAATAACAAAACTACCGAACTCCGAGAAAAATTCAAAAAAGGAAAGTCCCTAATCAAATGACAAAATTAAAAGCCCAAACACATCAAACGAATGGATAACAACTGTCATATTCCCGACTTGGTACAGACATTTTCTTATGTAGAAAATTGTAGATTAAACCTGGTTTTAAAGCTAGCTAAACCTCTCACTTGTACCCCAGTGAGGTATCGGGTATTTAAATTCTAATTACATGCTTTTATTAATGATTATGGTCTACATACGTCATTTCTGAAAATAAGAAGCTACAGGTAAAATGGAAAAGCTGAAGTCAAATTTATTCAGTTCATAAAAGTGGAACATGAGGGGAAAATAAGTTGAACAGCAACATGAGCAAATGCTTGACAGTGGAAGGTCTGTAAAGGCCATTCTTTTTTCCATTGAATACCAAAACCAAAAAAAAAATTTACCAAACTATGTCGATGAGATGTGCATACGACATTCGTCTGTTGGACATCAGTTTTCATCTTTTTGTACTTTGTTTTATATATTAGCGATAGGAACTGATCAAACATCTTATATTTAGTGCAAAACAGCCAAAAACTGACAAAATTGCAGTATTTTTCATCTTATCATTCTAAAAAGATATTTTTCTACACAATTTATTTTACAAGGAGGTTAACGTGTATAAACATTGTTTTAGTAAAGCTGTTGTTTATATATATTTTTACAAAAAAAAACTATGATTAAAAAGGCTATTTTTGATCAAATACGTAAATTTAGACATCTTTATTACGTCATAGCTACAGCAAAAATAATCTTTTTGCACTAAAGTATCCAGATTAACAGAAAACTTTAGAAGACTTGAATAAGTTTACTTCTTTGCAATTGTAGGGGTCATATAATATTTTGTTTTTACATACAACCTCCTTTTCTCTGAGAATGAATAAAAAGATATGTAGGCTGTAGGTTGATTTGTCAGTAACTCAACGCAAACAAAGCAATAAGATTTAAAACAGGTAGTCGTAACATTGTGATGTTAATACCTATTATCAGGCGTAAATTGTTCTAGGTTTAGACAAGATGCACGTAAGATAAGATCACATTCCAGAAAGCGCAAAAGGATGCAAAATACAGAGAGACAACCACTGCCAAGCTCCTGAATTCATTTTTGTAGTAACGCAACACCTGCCTAAACATTAGTAACATTTTATCTCTTTTTTGTACTTTAATTTGTACATTCTAATTCAGGTTCAGTTTTGCGATATTATAGATATTACAGTTGTTACTTCTATATAGCTCATCGATAGTGATAAAAACAAGTGTGCGTTTTAGTTCAATCTTAATCACATATTATTGATCAATATTGTAAACAAATCAAATGTAACCATTTACAGTTTGTAAATCCTTTTTTAATATATCTAGCGGGATAAATATAAGTATCCCTAAGTTAACGTTGAATTTGTTGAAAATATCAATCCATAGTTTAACTGCGACAAAATCAGAAATAAATGACTTATTACCAAATTAAATATCAGGAGCAAATAACCCAAGACTTCACATAACCAATAAAGTTTACAAGAAAATGTTTAATTTACAACAGATGTAATAACAGTCATTCGCAATAGATTTTTGCTGTGCATATACTGTTTTTGTGTCATGAATGGATAACAATATCTTTAGTTTTTCTATTAAAGCTATTAATGCCTTTTTAATGAAGTGACAATACATACTTTTAAGTGTGAGATAGGTTGTCTTTACTAGTGGTCTCTGAAGGAATCCATTATCTACCTGACATTCATATACCTCTAGATCGTCAACGGCAGTTGTTTTGAGAGTCAATGTTGTAGTTGTTACATTACCACTAGAAGATGTATTAGTACCAGACGACATTACAATATCATCTCTTAACCAAACAACTGATGGTGGTGGGTTTCCTCCTGTAGAACTGCATGAAAGAATAACAGTTACTCCTACCTGAAATTCTACCTGGCTACTTGTTTCAGGTTCACCTGGAGCTCTCCTGACGAATGCTAAAATATCAATGCTTCTAGTTAGAACTTTAAATGAACAATGTACTTAGAAAATTAAATGTTAAGACATCATCATCATCATCATCATTATCATCACCATCACCATCACCGTCATCATCATCGTCATCATCCTCATCCTCATCCTCATCCTCATCATCATCATCATCATCATCATCATCATCATCATCATCATCATCATCATCGCCATCGCCATCGCCATCGCCATCGTCATCGTCATCGTCATCGTCATCATCATCATCATCATCATCATCATCATCATCATCATCATCATCATCATCATCATCATCATAATTATCGTCGTCGTCGTCGTCGTCGTAGTCGTCGTAGTCAGTCGTCGTCGTCGTCGTCGGAAGTCGTCGGAAGTCGTCGGTAGTGAAACAAAGGAAAACCATTATGTTGACTGAAAAAACTCATTCTCATACAGGTAAAAACGAATATTAACATATGTTTTAAACCAATAATATGAAATCAAACAGACCTATAAAAGTCTAATTGCACGAGTTCGCTATCTATTTATAACTATGTTAATGTTTATATAGGGTTATATGACAGTCGACAGTCTTCGGAGGTAACCTCGATGGTAAATTAGATGGCGTCTAGGCTAAAATACAAACGAAATACTGATACATATTATTGAGTCCGTGCATCGTAAATTGTTTATTTAAGAGTTTTCATGATTTGAATATACGTTTTACATTGTTTTAGTATGTTATTAATCAAATATGAGAATTTGAGTCAATAGTTATCAAAGGTACCAGGATTATCACAAATCAGTGAACATGAATTTGACAGCTTATGCCTCTTTAAGCAAATACCGTACCATTTACCAACTGATTACCCTTTTGGAGCTCATGAGTTAACCCCGTTCTAAGATTGGTTCGTTTTGCTCAGTCTTTTATTCATATAGTGTTTTGTGGACTTGAACATTTTTCTCAAACTTGAGAGTTTTAAATGTATCCATGGTATCTTCCGCCTCATTGTCACTGCTGTCAACAAAATAAGATCCAGTGGTCATTTTTTAAGGTATAAGTCTATATCTCATGTCTCATCATACGACATTTCCAAAGTGTAATTAACCAGTTGGTATATCATAATTTTATATTTTTGGTACATGATTAGAAATAGAACAATTATTTGGTCTAGTCTGTCTCTTTAAGCAATGACATTTGAATCCCAAAAAAGATTTCAGTGAAAATGGAAAAGTTTATATTTCAACAAAAATTGACATAAGCAACAAATATAGAGCGCAGGGTTCGATACACTAAATATGCAAGTAAGATTATAATATGCTATAACAAAGATATTGTTAAATGATCATTTTGTCGAAGGATGTACTTTGTTTCAGATTAATGAACCAATGAAGGTTGACCATTTTCATTGAATTTGGTCGGTAGTTAAAAGGTATGATAATTCATAGATAAATAGTGATAGATATCATTTTAATAACAATAACATATTTCCTATATATTCATTAATTCTGTTTTGATGCATTGTGATACTACCCTTTGAAATCCTTATTTGAAATATTATCTAGAAAAAGAAGTCATATCCTCTGAAATGAAGCTAACTGAACCATTAGACATCACTAAAGTTTCTACATTTAGAGACATGCAAACTATATAAACCATGTACATGACCTAATGTGAAAATTTGAAATGAAAGTACCAGCAGCTTACCGTCTAGAACTTCAAGATTGACAGGGTTACTTATAAATTGCCGTTTCCCATTGTTTGCTCGGCATTTATAAATACCCTCGTCGTTTTCTGTAATGCTGAATATATTTAAATTAGGGTTGGTTGCAGAAGTTATAATTTGTCTCTTAGCATTATTTGTCCCCTGAGCTATTATTTCAGCATTGCCTCCATCAACTTGCGTTTTTGTCCAGTCCCAACCAATAGCCGGTGGTTCGCCATTTATTGTACACGACATAGTGACTTTGGAATCGCCTACTATAGCTGAATGTGTTGTCAATGAAGCAGTTATATTAAGGTCACCTGTTATTTAAAAAAATGTTTGGTTAACATTCTACTGATATATGGTAATATATAAGATAATTATTTCTATCGGAAATTCATACGCATTATTTTATGTGTACCCGATTTTCTCAAAGAAATGGCACTGGAATTAACATAGTCGGAATTTCAATTCAATTTAAAAAAAATACAACTAAAATTAAAAAAAGTTGTTTCAAATCTTGCATAGTCTATATCGGCTTGCGGACAGACAAATTTAATTGCTTAGAATGATAAATATCAAATTTTCAGACCATGACGACATCAATGATATTTTATATCAGAAAAAGAGTTCTGACTGTTAGACGGATAATACTAACAGGAACAAAATCTCAACCAGCATTAGTTTCGACCAAGCAGTTATACAAAGTCATCAAAAAATGACAGGCTTTAATGTAAGTACACCAGTGGCGCGTTTCGTCTACAAAGGAATCATCAGATGAGATCGAATCCAAATAGTTCAGTACGCCATTATGATTCGGTTGAACGTTAAAAAATTGAAAACAACACGTTTAATAATTTCATGCGTCCGAAGCGCTTTTCTGGATTTACCTTCATCAGGAACGCTCAAAGCCAAACATTTGAAATCCGAAGGATGGATAAGTACCGAAACAGGTGAAGAGCTATATGACAAAAATACATAAAACAAATAGCCAAATCCATCTAAGTCAACTTTTCCTGAGGGAGTTGAAACCTTAGTTTCTTTATAATTTCAAAATTTATAAACGAACAATTTTAGAAAGGTTTGTTATAAATCATGTCAGTACCGGAGTACTGACTACTGAACTGATGATATCCTGGGGAATGATAGTCCACCAGCAGAGGTATCGACCCAGTGATGTAAAAATTGAAAACAACACGTTAAATAATTTCATGCTTCCGAAGCGCTTTTCTGGATTAACCTTCATCAGGAACGCTCAAAGCCAAACATTTGAAATCCGAGGGATGGATAAGTACTGAAACAGTTGAAGAGCTATATGACAAAAATACATAAAACAAATAGCCAAATTCATCTAAGGTCAACTTTGCCTGAAGGAGTTCAAACTTTAGTTTCTTTATAATTTCAAAATTTATAAACGGACAATTTTAGAAAGGTTTGTTATAAATCATGTCAGTACCGAAGTACTGACTACTGAGCTGATGATACCCTCGGGGACTGATAGTCCACCAGCAGAGGTATCGACCCAGTGATGTAAAAATTGAAAACAACACGTTTAATAATTTCATGCTTCCGAAGCGCTTTTCTGGATTAACTTTCATCAGGAACGCTCAAAGCCAAACATTTGAAATCCGAGGGATGGATAAGTACTGAAACAGTAGTAGAGCTATATGACAAAAATACATAAAACAAATAGCCAAATTCATCTAAGGTCAACTTTGCCTGAGGGAGTTGAAACTTTAGTTTCTTTATAATTTCAAAATTTATAAACGGACAATTTTAGAAAGGTTTGTTATAAATCATGTCAGTACCGAAGTACTGACTACTGAGCTGATGATACCCTCGGGGACTGATAGTCCACCAGCAGAGGTATCGACCCAATGATGTAAAAATTGAAAACAATACGTTTAATAATTTCATGCGTCCGAAGCGATTTTCTGGATTTACCTTCATCAGGAACGCTCAAAGCCAAACATTTGATATCCGAGGGATGGATAAGTACCGAAACAGTTGAAGAGCTATATGACAAAAATACACAAAACAAATAGCCAAATTCATCTAAGGTCAACTTTGCCAGAGGGAGTTGAAACCTTAAGAATATCTTTGTAACTGTTAACAAATGATGGGTTTCAATCAATATAGCAACAATCCCGTTATTTTGTTTTTACGTTTGTGATTATTCACTTAATTTCGCTTGCTAGTTGCAACAATGGTAGCAGGAACTGCTTACAATTCAAGAACATTAAGTTCATCCCTGCATATTAGAAGGGGATGTTGTTCTCAAATATAAAGTTTCTTTGAAGTGTTTTGTACACTGTTGTTTGTAATTGTTTTGTGCTTTTTTATGTGGCATACTTGTTAAACGTCATTTATTAAACATGTACTTAAATGACCATTTTGGTATTTACTTGATAGCTCTCTATGCAAATACATAATGTTAAATATTACGTTTTTAATATGTTCATTTCATATGGTTAGGTCGTTAAAACTATATCACCATTATTCACTATTGAGATTAGGTTTTTGCACTACTAAGGAACCAAGTCGCTCAAGCAAAGTTGACATTAAAATGTTTTAGCAGTTTTGCTCAAATCCATTTTGGCTTTGATGTTCCAAAAAGTGTTTATGCATTTGCTTTCCCAGATACTTTATAGCTAATATTTGTCATGCGATAGACACTGGATAATCATTCTGTCCTTGAATATTAGGAACAAATTCTAAATTTTAAATCTGCCAAGAATTACTCACAATATTCCAATTTTTCCTAAAATCAAAAATCATTACAAAAGTTGAAGCCAACATATATTGATATATACTTACTAATAAATCTTAGAGCACAATATGAACTGGAACTTATTCCAACAGTATTTGCAGCAGAACACACATAGTTTCCATTATCAGAAGATTGGAAGTTCAGTACTGTTAAGGAAGGGTTCTGAGTGGTACCACCAGAATATTTGGCAATATTGCTTGTGTTTAATAATTGCAGTTGCTCAGAAGCAGTTGGTGTAAAATACCATATTATTGCTGAGGCTTCTGGTTCCCCGTATACGATACATGTGATTAATTGAGATTGTCCCTGGAGGACATCAGCATTAGCTGGAGACATAGCAACAGTTAGAAGATCTGAAAAGATTATGACATCATGCACAATATCAGCCATCTAAAAACGAAAGTATAACCAATAAAGGCAAAAGCTAACATTCTTCAAACTAGGATCTCCGTAGAGAAGATTTACTATCTAGAACAAAAATGGATACTTAAATGCATTACAGAAAAGCGTTAAAACCAAGAATTTAACAAAATGAAGTTTATTTTACAATTAAAATTTACCAACAGTCAGATACGCTATCAAAAATAAAGAAAAGATGCATAAGTCGTTAAACCTGTTGATTCAGGACACGTCGGAGTAACTTTTCAATTTTCTTATCAAAGTATGGTTGATAAATACTGTCACTTAAAACGCTCGCCTTTTGATAATCATATAGTTTTTAGTGAACAGAAGACTATTCACCACGGATATTGCAGAAATCATTAAATATGTATCTCAAAATCATTAAATATATATCTCACAGATAATATTGTTCCAAGTAAGTTATAATGTCCAAAGATAATAAATTCTCTGATGAATATATCTAATCTTCAATATAAAAGCACAGACTATTATTTAAAACTGGCATTAAATCTATTCCTTTACTGGCTCTAAATCAATGATTGAAACAGAATCTTCCATAATTATGATGTTAAATAATCTTGAAAGTTTTAAAATGTTGGAATAAAGATACTTTTTACACTATTTTATATTTAATTTTATTGTTCATCATCAAATCTTGTCTTTTAGACAACATAACCTGAAATTTGAAATGAATGCAATCAGCGAACAGTGACCAATTAAATGTTAATCATAATATATAGCATAATACATCAAAAGTTGTATAACCTATAACAACTTAAAGTTTTAAAATATATAACTACGTATAAAATAAACATATAAAAGCTCTCGAATGATATGTATTTATGTAGAACAAAAGTCAAACTCTTTATTAAACAAATACAATTTAATGCAAGCCCTAGTGAACACATATTTTATCTTAAAGATGTGTTCGACTTCTGTGTATTTTTTATAATGATTTTCATTGAAATATCTATCTATGATTGTACTACGACGACCCCCAGCATTTTACTTTTTTTTTGTAATTGATATTTGTGTTTATGTTTTTTAACCAAAATTATTTATTTGTTCATATTAGCAAAGTTCTAATGTAGTAAGTATTCAGATAATACTGTTATTAACCAATATAGAACTGTCTTCAGAAAAAACCTGTTACATCTTGTCAATCTCATTGATACTGTTTAAAGATTTATTTAATTACGAGATATAAAGTGAAATGGAGATAGGAAAATAATGCATATTAGGTAGAAGATAAAAAAAGATTGGAAATATCGAAAGGACATTAAAAATCAATAAATCTAAGAAAACCAACACCGTCATTGTAAAAATGCAGAACGGCCTAACAATTACATAAAAGCAGATAGATAACTGAAAAATTCCGCATCACGAGCTCCATCACACATCGGGGTGATTGTAGGTGATTCCAGGTTCTATATGATGAGTAAGCATTTCCTGCTCCACATGTGGCATCATGTCTAGCATAGCAGGAGCTTAATATTTGTTTATATACAATGTGTCGGTAATAAGAAAAAAAAACTTCCTTTAAGGGACACATAAGAATACCGTTCAAACAAAAACATTTTCGGATTTGAAGTAAACATATTTTACTAACAACCGCATATCTGCACGGAACCTTGTCATTGGCTTTCAACATGAAATGTATCTGATCATGAATACTATGGTCGACCACATTAGTCAAGCATTTTATGCAATTAGGGATAAATTGTTTACTTATTGAATAATCAGATTTTACCACATTAACTTTTCGTCCAAAAATAGAGTGTATTTACTCTGTCAACTACACCTTACTAGAACTGACCTCCATGGACAAAAAGCCTTGATCGTGTTTGAAATTGTAACCCTACACCAATTGTCGCTTGACAGAAATAATCCTGTTCATCCTGCACTACAATACTGTTGATAGTTAAATGCGTAGCATTGGGATACATTACTATGCTGTATTTGCGTCCACTAGATATTGTCGTTGTTGTACCACTAGTGATTGAACTTCTTGACCAAGACCATGATGTAGCCTGAGCTCCAGTTATAGTACACTGTATGGTGTATGACACATCTCCGTAAACAGCAGTTCCATCTAAGGGAATCACTTCTATTGATATATGACCTACAAAACAAACGCAACATGTAATATGAAAATATAAATAAGTTTATTAATTTTAAGTTTCCAAACCGTTTTTCATGAGTTAATTTCATTAGGAATGTGCACAGGAATGTGAAAACCAAACAGTTTGAAAGCAAAAAGGATGTATACGTACCATAACAAGTGAAAAGCTATTTAACCCAACGGGACTGAAAAATTACAGCCAAATACTTCCATTTCAATGACATTAAAACGAACCCGAAACGTACAAATGCAAATATTGATCAATGTCCATGTTCCTTCCGATTCATCACTGTCAACTTCATATTTGTCAACAATTCTTATCATACATGCAAATATATAATGTTCAATGTTGTGTTTATCTTTTTTATTTCAAATATTATTTGCACTGGGTCTTGGGAGAATATAAAAAAAGAAAATGCAGAAACAAGGCCAATCTGGAATAAAAGCAATGTATACGTATATGAAGAGCGGAAACTTTTCAAAACTTCAGCATTGAACAGTTTGTTCTCATAATTTCAACCGGAATAACAATCAGAGGCCCCGGATAGAAGTGCTTGTCTATCTACATATGTGAAAAACCGCTTATTACCTAGAAATAAAACGCATAATGAGCTACGAATCGACAACACGATGTGAGACGATTTGAAAAAAGCATGTAAAGGCCATTCGCCCCACATTAACAAGGTAATGACAAATTAGATTTTATATTCTTTTGGAGAATTTCTGTTAATTCATAGTGAATATACGCCTTTGCTTTTTTGTGACTGTGATTTATTCTAACGCTAGGCAGCACATTTGATTGTTTTAGCTTTTCAGACATTAGCATTTTACATAAACAATTATAATGTATTGTTCCTTCAGTTTAGTCACAGAAAACTTCACAAGATGTCATTGCGTCTGACATAGATCAGAAACCTCAGCAGTATTTTTTTTTTTTGGGGGGGGGGGGGGGGGATATCTTGACGTTTCCTTCCTTTTTGGGTTTTGTTTGCTATGCAATATTTTCAATACTTTCAGGTAATTGTATAAGCAAATTAGCCTTTACACAGTGCATTTATAATTTTGTGCTTTTTTTAGTTGCTTTTTCATGTCTTCATTTAACCTTTGTTCACATTTTACACATTAAAAACTCATGCAACTATACATACCTATTTATTGGGGATATCTCGATTGAAGAGACTCTCTTATTTTGGCAAATAAAATAACACAAAACATTTATAAAGATTTGCACTTTCTAAAATATATATAAACAGTCTATAGATACTTAGACACATTTTATGTTTTAAAAGTCAATATGCTTTAAACAAATTCTTATAACACAAACACTAATGATCTTTCAAAATGAGTGTTGCTTAGTCTCCTAGTTTTTTCAATGTATTAGTGTGTGGATAATTGTTTGTTTTTGTTAAATTGTGTTCCACTAATGAGCTCTGAATGTCCTCTTGGTTTCCTAAAATTCCGCCTTTCTTGTTTTAACTTACATATAAGAATTAACAAAACAACACACATTTTTTCTTACAGTCCTCTAATTGTGTTAACTTCCCATTTAAACGATACATCATACATCATTAGACCATATACCATTACACCACACACCATTACGCCATTACAACAAGTCCCTTTTCCCATTCCCATTTGAATCATACACGATTAGCATTATTCAAAAGTACCCCAAATTTGATGTGTTTGAGAGATTTACAAAATTTTGATTATGTTTTAAGAAACAAACTGAAATACAAAACAATAAAACGTTTCTTATGCGCCTCACCATCACCCGTACACCAAAAAGCATACATCATTACACCATAACTATTATACTTAAGAAAGTTTATACATTTCAAGAGCTTTAAGTAAAATAAAAAACATAGAGCACTGTATGATTATTATAAGCAGTATAGCTTAAATGTTGGTAAAGCAGAAACAAATTAGAATATGGGATTATTAAAACATATAAAACAATGTTGTTTATATAGAGGCTAATTAATAAGTATAAGTTAACATTTGAAATATTAGTATAAGCATGATGGGTATTCAGAAGCTGGTAAAAGAAACTTCACAACCTGTGTATCAATATGAGTTTTTACCTCCGTTTTGTGTTTGAACCCTTCGATATAACTAGAATATTCAAGTATTTAGAATTACGTTTATATTTTTTAAAAACTATTAGCCCTGTACAAAACTTTAAAATTTCCATCAGAAATTATGTGCATTCCTCGGATATATTTTTGGATTATCTTACGCAATTACGAACCATAACATATTCAAAAAAAGCTCTACATAAAACAAAACTGTTTTTTCACGTTAGAGGATACGAAAGAGAGAGAATTAATAAATTTGGTTTAAAGGGAGGTCGAACTAATAAGGTCTTTCCACTTTTCTGTGGAAAGACCTATTGGTTTTCTTCTGATTATTTTTTTTTTCTTCCGCCAAATTTTGTTCTTGCGATAAATTTTTGTTTCGCAAGATGTCGCTTAGATGTTTTGTATACGATATCGAACAGTTTATGCGCCTTTGAAATTGACCCTGCTTAACCGAATACTTTTCTTTGTAGGAGTTATCTCCCCGAACACTGTTTTCCTTGTGCGTGCATCTCCTCCGTAACCGTAAAAGAAAGCGACAAGTTTATTTTACATAATTGCTCGTTTTATCCTCAGGATGTTTTGTCCAGTTTTGACCGAAGCGATACGTAAACTCCATATGAGAGTTATTTCCCCTTCTGTATTTGACATAAGGGATATATAAATGTATAGCATGAATGGTAAGTGATAGAGACCTAAGGTATATTGATTTGAGTTTCTTTGATCATTTAAATGAAATTGAGGCCAAGGTCAAAGGTCAAGGTCATATTCTAAATGTTGACTTTTCCTTGTTATTTGATCTCCTCTGTCACTTTTAAAATTACAAATTGAAGAACAAGTGCAAAATGTTTGCCTAATTGTGATTAAGATTTGGTCTGAAACAATCCAATGACATCTTATAGGAGTTATTGTCCCTGAAATGATTCAATTTAAGGTTAATTGATTATTACTCCAACTTGGTACATAATAAAGCCATAGGGTCTTTTGCAAACTGTTGGTTGACATATGACCTTGAAAAAAGTAAACCGGAAGTGACCTTGAGTGAACCGGAAGTAGTATTTTTTGCACTTATTTCATGGAAAAGTACCTAGAAACCATATATTTTTTGAATGACCATAGGTCAACCTATCATTTGACACCAGAAGTGACATTTTATAAACCGGAAGTAGCATATTATCTTCCATATTACAGGCATAAGTATATACAAACAATATTTTTTTGGAATCAGTGTGAATAAAGCTATCATATGAGACCGGAAGTGACATTTTCTAAACCGGAAGTTGACAATTATCTCCCTTATTTCAGGCAAAAGTATATAGAAACCATTTATTTATTGAATCAGTTTGAAGAAATCTATACTTTGACGCTATTAATAACTTTTAGTAAACCAGAAGTAGCTTCCTATCAATTATTTAGAAAATTGATGTGGAAAGACCTTCAATTGTTCTTTGAACAATTGGTTTATAATTTTTTTTTCCCGCCTAATTTCCTTCTTGCGATAAATATTTGTTTCGCAATATGTCGCTTAGATATTTCTCATATCGCATTGTATAGTTTATGCGCTTTTAAATTTCACCCTGCTAAGCCAAACAATTATCTCAGTAAGAGTTATCTCCCTATTCACTGTTTATCAAGTGTGTTCATCTCCTTCGTAACAAAAAAAGATACCGACAAAATTCTTTTTCTTAATTGTTCGTTACATCTCAGGAATTTTTGGCTAATTTGGATCGAAGCGATTCGATGAAATTTTATAGGAGTTATCTACCTTTACCAAAAAAATTTGTCGGTATGTTTTTTTCACTCATAAACCGTTAACCGTATAACCCTGGAATCTTTTTATTTGAGGCCCCTAGGTCCTAACTTAGAAAATGAGGTCACGGTCAAAGGTCAAGGTCAAGTTCTCAATTTTGACTTTTCCTTGTTTTTGCATTTTCTCCAACACTTTTAAAGATATATATAAAAGAACAAGTGCAAAATGTTTGCTTTATTGTAATAAAGATATGTTATATTTGGTCTGAAACAATCTAATGACATCTTATTGGAGTTAGTGCCCCTGAAATGTCTAATTATAAGGTTAATTGATCATTACTTCAACTTGGTTCATTATAAAGCCATATGACCTTTTATAAAAGGTTGGGTGATATATGACCTTGAAAAATGACAACCGGAAGTGACCTTTAGAAAACCGGAAGTAGCCATTTTTGCACTTTTTTCATGGAAAAGTACTCGGAATCCATATATTATGTAATTTAAATACATAAACTTATTACCAAAGACTAGAAGTGTTTTTAGATAAACCGGAAGTGGCCAATTATCTCCTGGTTTACAGGCAAAAGTATATATAACTATATATTTTTGGAATAAGTGTGAAAGAAGCTTTCATATGAGATCGGAAGTGATATTTACTTCACCGGAAGTAGCACATTATCTCCCTTATTTCACTCAAAAGTATATAGAAACCACTTATTTATCGCATCAGAATGAAGAAACTTATGATTGGATGCCAATTTTAACTTTGAGTAAACAGGAACTAGCTTCTTTTCAATAACTTTGAAAAGTAATGTGGAAAGACCTTCAATTGTTCTCTGAACAATTGGTTTTTAATTTTCACTGTTTTTGTTTCATTCACAGGATCGAAATCTGAGTCTATATGTTAAAGACTAATATTGACGTCCGGACTCAAATGATGTCCGTTTCTGAAATCGCAGTTCAATATGACGTCGTAATAAAAGAAAATTTTCGGCTGATTATTGGCCTCCTCGAAGTCCTGTTTTGTTCCAAAATCAGCGTAAAATTCTTGGCCAATCTCTAATTATCGCCTTTCCTACTAAACTACAATCACATAGTTGTTGTATGAATTTAATAATGCCGTCCATCATTTACTATTTTCCATTTCAACCTTTTTCTACAGAAGTTCTGCTG